CCCGCCGCCCCCCCAGCCAGCAGGGCCAGCCGCCCCCGTCTGCTGCTCCCACCGCTCTGCAGCTTCCCTGCCTTCAGATCAGGCTTCTGAAACGGCCCGGGGCAAAGCGCTTCCGGAGGGAGGTGCAGCTGCACGGGGCAGCGTCCGTGTGCTTCCCGCAGGGCTCCTTCCACAAAGCGCTGCTGAGGAACATCCAGGCTCCAGGCTCTAAGAGGGCCCTGGGGAGGGGGCCCAAGCAGCGGGGAAGAGGCGAAGGGGGCATGACCACTAGGCAAACCTACAGAAGCCGGAGGGAGGTGCAGCTGCACGGGGCAGCGTCCGTGTGCTTCCCGCAGGGCTCCTTCCACAAAGCGCTGCTGAGGAACATCCAGGCTCCAGGCTCTAAGAGGGCCCTGGGGAGGGGGCCCAAGCAGCGGGGAAGAGGCGAAGGGGGCATGACCACTAGGCAAACCTACAGAAGCCGGCTGTCCAACGAGGGCGCCGTGGCGAGGGAAGGGCCATCGAGAGAGGGCTCCCCCACGACGGGCGGCCCCAGCCAGTCCGGGGAGAAGCTTGAGATCTGTGTGGAGGCCAATTCCGACAAGAGAAGCGTTCTGCTCCCGAGGGACAGTGGGGCAGGGGTCCAGGGGGCAGAGCAATCGGCCAGGAAAGCAGGTGATGGGGACGCCCCGGCGGACACTGCTGTAGACACAGGACAGGTGCAGCAGCAAGACCTGAGCAGTTCGCCTCCGGGTGCTAGGGGGAAAAGTGGAAGCAAAGCTCCCCCAGCAAAGAGTTGGAAGCATAAATCGCTGGCCCTGCCCGTCTACAACCTGAGGCACTCCCCTGCACCTCTGGAGGCTGCCAAGAAGAGCCCGGAGGCTTTGCAGGTAACCCCGAGCCAGCAGGAAGAGGCCAGCTCGGGGCACCCAGACCCGCTGGGTTGGAAGGAAGTGGACCCGCCGGCTGAGGACAGACCCAAGTTTGTGGAGTGGTGTGCGGAGGAGGAGACCCAGGAGCTGATCGCTGACTTCAATGCCCAGTACGCGAGAGTCCAGAGGGGCTGGATTCAGCTGGAGAGAGAGGCCCAGCCAGCTCCCAAGGCGAAGAACAAAGCCGACAAGCTGAAGGAGATTTGGAAAAGCAAGAAAAGGACCCGCAAGTGTCGAGCGTCTCTGGAGGCTCAGAAGCTCTCCCCCGTCCAGATGCTGTTTCTGAAGGCCTTCAAGCTGTCCAACGTCTGCCGCTGGTTCTTGGAGACGACGGAGACCCGGTCGCTGGTCATTGTGAAGAAACTCAACACCCGTCTTCCAGGAGATGTCCCCCCCATCAAGATCCCACTGCAGAAGTTTTGCTCAGCCGGCTTGTACCCCAGCTCGCTGCAAGCGGAACGCTTGAAAAAACACCTCAAGAAGTTTGCTGCTGCGACCCCGGCTAAAAATAACCTGAAGAACCAGAAGCTGTGGGCCAGGCTCCGGGAGGGCGCCGACCGAGCGGAGCCCGACGGAGCCG